AAGAGGAAAAAAGCATACAAGTGAGTCAGTCTAAATAGGAATGCTCTAAGTACACAGGGGAGGAAACAAGAAGTGCCTTGTGTGGGCCAGCACAGGTAGAAACTGCTTCTGGTTGGGTCTGGGAAGGCTCCGTGAAGTCGCTGGCATTTAACTGGCCTTTGAAGGGTAGATGGGAATCTCAGCAGCACGAGATATGTGGGTGGATGTTGGCATTCTGAGCAGAACTATCAGTGTAGGCCAAAGGTTTGGGTTACCCTGCGTACCCCTGTGTGTTCAGACTGTCAGGGTGTTTAGAAAGCAGTGTGTGTGTGTGTGTGTGTGTGTGTGTGTTGTGTGTTGTGTATATGTATGTGTGTATGGTCAGGCAATGGAGCTGCCCTCTTTAGAAAGAGCCATGGGGTACATTGCAGTGGCTGAACACGGAGGGACCTGCTGGAATTCTGAGTTAAAAATGGAAGAACCACTGTACCTCTTTGTTTTCTTCCATGTTCAGTGCGAAGCATTTTTTTTTTTTTGTCAGTCATGAGGCTTGAACTCTGGGCCTGGGCGCTGTCCCTCAGCTCTTCAGCTCAAGGTGAGCGCTCTGCCACTTGAGCCACAGCGCCACTTCTGGTTTTCTGAGTAGTTTATTGGAGATAAGAGTCTTATGGCCTCTCCTGCCCAGGCTGGCTTTGAACCCCAGTCCTCAGATCTCAGCTTTCTGAGTAGCTAGGATTACAGGCGTGATCCATCAGCGTCCAGTGCATGAAGCATTTTTATTAGATTCTACCTGAAGTGGGTTTGATGGGAAGAGTAGTAGCATGAGGCAGCCACGTGATTTGGGATAAATCTATTAAAGTGCAGACAAAGAAGCTGGGGTTCCAAGATCTACTTCATCTATGCTGCCCAGGCTGGCCTCTAAGTCCCATGGTGGACTTGAGGCAGAAATGAGCCTGGTTCATGGCCTGATCCCTCCACTTCTTAGTCTTGCTGTGGTGTCACCATCCACATCTCCCTGGGGTCCTCTAAATGAGGAGATCCGCGTTGGTGCTTGTGGGCTAGGGTTTCCGGTTGCTGCAGCCCAAGCCCTTGGGGAGAAGGGTGTGCCGTTGACTCACTGCCTGGGCATCTGGGCCTGGAACCATAGATGAGTCACCTAAGACTGGGGGGAAGGGATATGGGGGGAAGCTGCGTGACATCTGGCGGGGGAGGGCAGCTGGGCCCTCAGGAAGGGTGGTGCCCAACTGGGCTTGGTATACAGTGAGAGGAGAAGGGGGCAGCCAAGCCAGCGCTTCCCTACAAACCCCTCCCCTGGGCTGGGTTGAATACAGCGTTTGCCCTTCTCAGGACATGAAGGGGGCATGTGGGATGGCCTTGAGGTGGGGTAAGGGAGGCTGGGGCCCTGTCTTAGGTCTGGTTTGGGAAGCTGTCCAGTCCTCCATTTTCAGCTCTGGGTGTGTCTTTCCTACCCACTGGAGAAGAGGAGGCTCCTCCTGTACCCCTTTTCATCTCTCTGTGGGTCTCCCTTGCACTCTTCAGAGTATTGCCCACCCCAGCTGAGGCTGTAGATAGAACAACCCTTGGTTCTCATACTCAGTCACCTGGTTACTCATTAAGAAGTCTTATTTAAAGTATGCACTCAAGGCTAGCACTCTGCAACATGAGCCACAACTCCATTTCTGGCTTTTTTGGTGGTTAATTGGAGATAAGAGTCTCAGGAGCTTCTCTGTTTAGGCTGGCTTCAAACCTCCATCCTCAGATCTCAGCCTCCTGAGTAGCTAGGATTACACGTGTGAGCCACCTGCAATTGACTCCCATTAGAAGTATTTGAAGCTAGCTATGGTGGCACACGTCTGTAATCCTAGCACTGTGAAGACCACCTCAGGAGGATCTCAGGTTCAAGGCTAGCCTGGGCTACATAGCCAGATCCTATCTCAAAAATCCTAGAGAAGCCGAGTGCCGGTGGCTCATGCCTGTAATCCTAGCTACTCAGGAGGTTGAGATCTGAGGATTGAGGTTCAAAGCCAACCAGGGCTGGAAAGTCCGTGAAACTTTTATCTCCAATAAACCACCAGAAAACTGGAAGTGGCGCTGTAGCTCAAGTGGTAGAGCGCTCACCTTGAGCTGAAGAGCTGAGGGACAGCACTCAGGCCCAGAGTTCAAGGCCCACGACCGACAAAAAAAAAAAAAAAATCCAAGAGAAACCCGGGCACTGGTGGCTCATACTTGTAATTCTAGCTGAGATCTGAGGAAGCTTAGATCTGAGAACCACAATTCAAAGCCAGCCTTGACAGGACAGTCCATGAGACTCTGATCTCTAATTAACCACCAGAAAACTGGAAGTGGTGCTGTGGCTCAAAGTGGTAGAGAGTTAGACTTGAGCAACACAGCTCAGGGATAAAGCCCAGGCCCAGTTAAAGCCCCATGACTGACCCCCCCCCCCATCCCCCCCCCAAAAAAAGCAAGAGATAAAACAAAGACAAGGGTTCTGATGATCATTAAAAATAATCTTGTTCTGCCCCCCCTTCTGATATCTTCATCTGAATACCCCCTAGCTGCCTTTCCTGCCCCCAATTTTCTTTTCTTTTCTTTTTTTGGTCATGAGGCTTGAACTCTGTGCCTGGGCTCTTCAGCTCAAGGCAAACACTCTACCGCTTGAGCCACAGTGTCATTTCTGGTTTTCTAGTGGTTTATTGGAGATAAGAGTCTCACGGACTTTCCTGCCCAGGCTGGCTTTTAACTATGATCCTCAGATCTCAGCCTCCTTAGTAACTAGGATTACAGGCTTGAGCCACTGGCACCCAGATCTTTAAAATTTTTTTAAATTTAAAAATGTCTTTTTAAAATTTTTTGTCAGTTGTGGAGCTTGAACTCAGGGTCTATGGGCTGACCCTGGGCTTTTGGGCAGAATTCAGCATAACCACCTTGATCCACAGCTCCACTTCCATGGCCCTGAGTTTTCTAAAGGTGGTCTGGATTCTTCTATTTCTTCTCTTCTTCCTTCTCCTCAACCTCTCTTTCTCTCTCTCTCTCTCTCACACACACACACATACACACACGTACACACACGCACACACACGTACACACAGGCACATGAACGCAGGCTCTCACATAGGAATGGGCTGTGACTCACACTCATGTCATGAGAACCAGGCCTGGAATGAATCTCCAAGCCCCAGAACAGGGGTTAGCTCCTCTCGCCCTTATCTGGAACGGCCCTATTCCCATGATACTTCCCTCTCCTCACTGTAGCCTGGATGAGCTCAGCAGCTGCCCTGGGGTCCAGTCTAGAGCCCTCCTCCAGCTAGTGGTGGAGTTGCCTTTCTAAGTTGCCATCTCTGAGAGGGAGGGGAGCAGAAAGAAGTGGGTGGGGGGTGGCAGGAGGCCAAGTTTGTCCAAATCAGGTTAGGGCAGGTTTGGATTCTCAAAAATTCCAAGTTAGAGGTGAGGGCGGGCAGTGGGGAAGGTATATAAATCCCTATTCTTGGTGTCTGGCCACTTGCTCCTTTCCTAGATCTTTCTGCCACTTGGTCTGGTAAGTACCTCTATCCTGCTGCAGGCCTGGGTCTCCACCTTTGTCCTTGGGTCATGATTCTTGTGGGATGGATCCTTGGTGGGGTCAGATTTGAACCTCTCTGGATCTCTTACACTTGGGAAGATCCTCTGTGGAGTGTCAAATGGAAGGGGTCTCTTCCAGCTTCCTCAGTGAAGGAGCTTTGGTTTCTCTGGGGGGAAGATGTTGGTTTGGGATTTACCCTGAGACTCTCCCTTGGGTCTTTTTTTTTTGGGGGGGGGGGGGTCCAGTCGTGAGGCCTGAACTCTGGGTCTGGGCGCTGTCCCTCAGCTCTTCAGCTCAAGGCTAGCGCTCTACCACTTGAGCCACAGCACCACTTCCAGCTTTTTTTCTTTTTGCTTATGTGGTGCTGAGGAATCGAACCCGGGGCCTCAGGCATGCAAGGCAAGCGCTCTACCACTGAGCCACCTTCCCAGCCCTCCCTTGGGTCTTTTGTGTGAAGTCCCTAGGTGCATCTCAGTTTGTGTATGTCAGTCTGTGAAGGCCTTTCTTTAGGGGTCTAAGCCTAGGAGTAGATGATGTATGTGTCCTACCTGCTTTTACAAGAATCCCGAGTTTGTTTTTGCAAAGTCCTGGATTCTATGAAGACTAAGGACAAGAAGCAAGGGTCTCAAGAGCACATCCTTACCTGGATCCTGACCCTGAGTAGCCTCAGGGCTCTGCCCAAGGCCTCCGTATTTTCCGGCCTTGCTGAGGGTGTGGCTGTCAGGCAGGCCCAGGGCTTTCCCTGCCTCCAGCACTGGCTTCTGTGGCTTCGCCTTGAGACTTGTCCAACCTTTCCAGGCTGCTCCCAGCATTCTCAGAGGCACAGGCGTGGAAAAGATGACCGTTGAGCTCTATTCTTGTGGGCCCACATTCCTTCATGTTCCTTACGCAGGGGATGTTTAATTTCTTCTGTTCTAATCCCAGCAGGATTCTTCCTGCTAGGGAGAGTGTCTTCATCCTACATAGGCCCCATCTGCACAGCGCTAATACCACATGACTCAGGGTCTCCAGTGTGAGGGGAGACACACTCTCCACCTTCTCAGAGCCCCTAGTCTGTGGAGGCAAAGACTCCTCCAGCAAGTCTCATACTCTGGGGGCCACAGCCATGCCTAGACTGTGCAGAGAACTCCACTAGCTCACCCAAGGACAGGCCTGTGCTTGCCACAGACTGGAGTCAAATTGGGACTGTGGCTGCCTGTCATTTTCCTGTCCTCAGACACCCAAGAGGGGGAGCTCTCCTCTTAAAGGTGTGTCCCTAAGCGTGTAGAGAGGGGAAAGTCTCTGACATGCAGGGAGGGTTTAGCATGGGCCTACAGTGCCAGGTTGGAGTTGTGAGCCTCCACCCGGGTTTGGTGAGGCGATTTGGGGCTCAGGGTACAAGTGGGTCCTATAGATGAAGTCAAGGCCCCAATTGTCTTGGCCATGTTTCTATCACCTCCACCTTTTCAGCTTCAGATTGAAGATGTCCAGTCCTCTGGAACAGGCACTGCTCACCCTGGTCTCCACCTTCCACAAGTACTCTGGCCAAGAAGGAGACAAGTTCAAGCTGAGCAAGGGAGAGTTGAAAGAACTTCTGCGCAAGGAGCTGCCCAGCTTTGTGGGGGTGAGTGGGGGCAGGTCAGCTTGAAAGGGAAGGTCCTGAGGGAGTGGGGGTGGGTGGGTATTTTCCTTCTTTTACTTCCAAGATGTCTGCTGATGCATATACAGGGGTGGGGAAGGGGCTCAGATTGTCTTTTCACAACTTTTTCCTCTGGGCCCTCAGAGTGGGCTTGGGAACCATGTTCTATTAATGGATTAATGGCTGTTTTCTGCAACATTTCTTTCCTCTTCCTCTGGTACTGGGGATGGAACTCAGGGTCTTGAGCTTGCTGAGCAGGCACTCTACCACGGAGCCAATCGTTCAGCCCCTGTTTTTATTCTGATTATTTTTGAGATAACCTTGATTCCTCCCCCACCTTCCATGCTGGCTTTGGACTGTGATCATCCTATTTACACCTTCTGCATAGTTGGGATGAAAGATGTACACTATCATGTTAAGCCTTTTCTGTTAAGATAGGATCTTACCAACATTTTCAGCTTGTGCTGACCTTGGTCTGGGTCTTTGCCTCCTGAATAGCTTAGGAATACAACTGTGAGCCAGCAGCACCAGCCTCTTTTCTTTAAAAAAAAAAAAAAAGATTAATTTTGAGTTTTCTTTTTAAAGATTTTTTTTATTACCATACATTAGTTGGATAGGATTTTTTAAGGTGACATTTCCATACATGCATACAACGTACCTTTTTTCTTTTTTCTTTGGGTTTTGGTTAAACTTTTCTGATCGTGTTGGTTGTATTAAACAGTTTTCCCCTTCCGAATTCACCTTGCTGATGATATGGAACTGCAAGCCTGTTTCTTCATCAGCAAAACAAGACCATGCCAGCATTATTAGAGCTGATATGTACTTACGTGTCTCCCATGCCCCCATTCTCAGCAGGGGGTGCTGGTAGCTCTCACCAGCACACTCTCTGCCCTCACTCACTGGGCCCTCTTGGTAGTTGTACTTATCTGGCTGCCTGGTGGGGAAAGAGAGCTGGGAACTGACTTGTGGGGTCTGTGTGTGGAGGGTTGGTGTGGAGGTTGGGGAAGGGGACACTTGGTAACGACATCATTCTTCCTTGCCTTCAGGAGAAAGTGGACGAGGAGGGGCTGAAGAAGCTGATGAGCAGCCTTGATGACAACAGTGACCAGGAGGTGGACTTTAAGGAGTACGCTATTTTTCTGGCCATTGTCACTGTCATGTGCAATGACTTCTTCCAGGGATCCCCAGAACGTCCCTGAAGCAGAGCTCTCCATTTCCTGCCACAGATCCTCTGAGCCTGAGAAGGGGAGAGGTGTCTCTATTCCTTCTAATTTACTATTTAATAAACGTTTCAACCTCTTCTGCACATTGACTCTCCTGGAATCTCCCTGAGGCCAGAGACGTACGTGCCTTAGGTCTCAGGTTTTGGGATTGACACAAAATATTTTGCCAAATAAAGACATTTGGAAAAGAAAAGTACCATCACAATCATTTCATAAGAAGAGAACATTTCAGCTCCAACAAGGAAGGATGGGTTTATTCTTAGAAGGAAGGACAGACTTAAAGCTGCATGGCTCTAGGAGCTGTTCTAGAATTATGAATTAGGTTAATCAGTCTTGCAATTTTATGATCTCTTTGTCAGATACAGGCTTTTGGCAGTGTGCTTGTTTTTGGAAAAGCTGCACTTATTTTTCTACTTTCTGATGGGCTATCTCTATTCTGAGTGCAATATCCTGTTGATCTCTGCTAAAATCTTCTTGGAGCCATCTTTTACAAAATTCTAATTTTCTATCATTTCCTCTACAACTGTGGTCTAGGTTGCCTTATATCTTATGTCTTAAGGCATAACAGGTGACAATGTGACAAGATGCTTTGATATGTTGTAACAAGGTCATCAGCTTACCAATCTATGAAGGCTGGATCTAACCTCTTATTCTTTCTTCACTCACTTTCATTTCATTTATTTATTTGTTTGTTTATTTAGTATGCCAATACTAGGACTTGAACTCAAGGCCTGGGCATTTCCCTTAGTCTTTTTGCTCAAAGCTGGTGCTCTACCACTTGAGCCTTAACTCCACTTCTGGCTTAGGATGGTTTCATGGAGTTTTCTTCCTAGGCTGGCTTTGAACAGTGATTCTTAGATCTCAGCCTCCTGACTAGTTCACCTGAGTATCCTCCACCAGTATTTGCCCAATTTCACATTTTGGGTTCCTTTTCTTTTCTTTCTTTCTTTTTTTTTTTATGGTAAGTTGTGGGGCTTGAACTCTGGGCTTGGGCGCTATCCCTGTGCTCTTTAGCGCTCTACTGCTTGAGACACAGCGCCACTTCTGGTTTTCTAGTGGTTTATTGGAGATGAGTCTCATGGACTTTCCTGCCTGGGCTGGCTTTGAACCGCGATCCTCAGATCTCAGCCTCCTGAGTAGCTAGGTTTACAGGCATGAGCCACCGGCGCCCGGCTGGGTTTCTTTTCTTGATAGATCCTACTTACAGGTGCCCAATTCTCTATCAATCATGTCACAGAAGGCCTGACTGGCAGTAGTTAACAGAAACTTCAATTTAAATGCCTGGCATTGTGGGAAATAGGAAATTGAGGTTTGGTTCAGTGGTTCAGGGATGCTCTGCCAGTTACCTATTGCTTCATGATGAATCACCCCAACATTAGCTAGCATAAAACATAAGGTTATTATCCCATGGTTCTGTGGGTAGATTGGGTTTAGTTGATGGGGCTCAATCGGGGTGTCTCTTGTAGTGACAGATGGAAACTGAGGCTGGAGTAATGTGAAAATTCAAACTAAGTCAGAATCCATGGGTGGTCATTCATCATACCTGGTAACAGATGCTGGATTAGCTGGGAGCTCAATGGCAGTGACTACTCATGGCCTTTCTGTGTGGCTGGGTGTCTATGTGGGAGCTGGCTTCTGAGAGGTCTTATTCTAAAGTGGGCATTGCAAGAAGCCCCAGTGATAGTTGCAAGGTTTCTTGAGATTTATTCCAGAAATCTCAGGGCATCATCTCTTCTTCATTTTACTAACCAAGTAAGCTATTACGTCTGGGTTTGAATTCAGGGCCTGGGAACTGATGCTGATGCTCTACCACTGAACTATACTTCTGACTTTTGGTGGTTAATTGGAGATAAGAATCTCACAGAGCCCTCCTCCACGGTATAACCCCTGCTTTCACTGTATTTGATGTTGGTATAATTTGTGGAGGGGTAGGGAAAAAAACGAATCCTTTAAATAGGGATACAGGTGGACCCATTGTAACAACGAGATGTACAAGTTGTTATGTCGAAAAATGAACTTTACAACTTTGGCTGGGGGTGGGGGGTGGAGGGTGGGTGGGGAGATGGGAAGGGATGGAAAGGGGAAACAAAGGAGGAGGCAACAATGCTTGATAAGAAATGTACTCATTACCTTGCCCATGTAATTGTAACCCCTCTGTATGGTATTTTCACAATTAAAAAAAAAGAAAAAAAATCTCACAGAGGGCTGGGAAGGTGGCTCAGTGGTAGAACGCTTGCCTTGCATGCATGAGGCCCTGGCTTCGATTCCTCAGCACCACATAAGCAAAAAGAAAAAAAGCCGGAAGTGGCGCTGTGGCTCAAGTGGTAGAACGCTAGCCTTGAGCTGAAGAGCTGAGTGATAGCACCCAGGCCAGGAGTTCAGGCCCCACGACCGGCCAAAAAAAAAAAAAAATCAAAACCAGGCAATCTTTTTTTTTTTTTTTGGGTCCGGTCGTGGGGCCTGAACTCTGGGCCTGGGCGCTGTCCCTCAGCTCTTCAGCTCAAGGCTAGTGCTCTACCACTTGAGCCACAGCGCCACTTCTGGTTTTTTTCTTTTTGCTTATGTGGTGCTGAGGAATCGAACCCAGGGCCTTGAGCATGCAAAGCAAGTGCTCTACCACTGAGCCACCTTCTCAGCCCCTAAAACCAGGCAATCTTAACTTCAGTGTTTGAATTCCTTATCTGGGGTGGGGTGGGGTGGGGAGTGTAGTTGTGGAGATGGGAGGGAAGGGATGGTAGGGGAAATGTACTCATTACCTTGCTCATGTAATTGTTTAATTAATTAATTAATTAATTTATATTGTGAAAATACTGTACAGAGGGGTTACAATTACATGGGCAAGATAATGAGTACATGTCTTTTTCTTTTTCTTTTTTTTTTTTTGGGTCCGGTTGTGGGGCCTGAACTCTGGGCCTGGGCGCTGTCCCTCAGCTCTTCAGCTCAAGGCTAACGCTCTACCCCTTGAGCCACAGTGCCACTTCCGGCTTTTTTTCTTTTTGCTTATGTGGTGCTGAGGAATCGAAGCCAGGGCCTCAGGCATGCAAGGCAAGCACTCTACCACTGAACTACCTTCTCAGCCCAATGAGTACATTTCTTATCAAGCATTGTTGCCTCCTCCTTTGTTTCCCCGAAAACTTTTTTATTTTTTATTTTTTGAGAATCTCACAGAAGGTGGGTGCTGTTGGCTCACCTCTGTAATCCTAGCTACTGAGGAGGCTGAGATCTGAGGATCATGGCTCAAAGCCAGCCCAGGCAGGAAACTCAGTGAGACTCTTATCTCCAATAAACCACCAGGAAACTGGAAATGGTGCTGTGGTTCAAATGGTAGAGTGCTAGCCTTGAGCTGAAGAACCAAGGGACAGCACCCAGGCCCAGAGTTCAAGCTCCACAACTGGGGAAAAAAAAAAAAAGAAAAGATCTCACAGACTTTCCTGCCTAGGTAACTTCTTAATCATGATCCTAGGTCTCAGCTTCCTGAGTAGCTAGGACTATAGGCATGAGCCATAGGTGCCTGACAAAAAAGGTGTTTTTTTTTTTCATTTCCATATATATATTTTTTTATTGTAAAAAACTGTACAGAGGGTTACATGAGTAATGAGTGCATTTCCTATCACACATTGTTACCTCCTCCAAAAAGGCTTTTAATAATAAAGAGAGGGCAGACAGTGCAGGAGTGGTGGTCATCACTTTTCTTTGCTTACTTTCCCAGGAAATGTTGATGCTTAGAGCTTGGAGGCGAAAAAGAGCCTGTGCAAAGGTACGGTGTCAGCTGATTATTCTCACTGCTCGGCCTTCACTCAATCTGAGGCTGTGAGACAAGGCTGGACAGGTCCTCCAGGACAAATGGTCTCTTTTCATGGCCATAAAATAGAGAAGAGGCCATCTTCCTGATACTGACAGCCAGTTAAAATATAGGTCAGAGAATCATGATGAGGGTAATTAACATCCTACCACAGTTCCAGGCTCCTTTCATGAACACTGGCATTCAGACTTCATGGTAACCTAGAGGAGTTATCATGAGGCCCTTTTAACAGATGGGGAAACTGAGAACTGCATTGACCATGTGCTGATATCCATTCTGGCCAGGTACTCTGCTAAGCCCACTGTAGCATAGCTCATTTAATCTCAGCAGCAAGTGGATATGGAATGTTTCATTAGGTTCTGTACTCTGCCAATGAGAAAACAGAAGCTGAGAGAGGTTATCTAAACACTCATGACAGGACTTGACACATGTCTGTAATAGAAATCTTCATCCCTGTGGAACACTGCAGTGCCAGTCTGGACCTCCTTCCCTTCCCTCTGCCATCTCCAGAGCCTTGAGCTTTGCAGGAGATGAAGGAACTAGCAGGGTTCAGATGCGCATGGTCTCACCCTAAGTCATTGGGGAAAGTGGGCCTATTCACTCAGGGGAACCTAATTTCTTGAAAGTCCTGACTTCTTAGTTCTGGATCTGGGGTGGTTTGGGCTAATGGAGGCTGGCCTCAGCTGGTTGCTTCTGGGGTTGTCCCCAGCTGAGGGGGTTGAAAGGGGCTTAATCTCCTTTTCTTTTGGGTATTTGGCAGACTAGAGAGCCTCAGGAATCTTCACCTCCTGTCATGGTCTTTGCTTATTTGGGTTAACTCCTGGCATTAATTCCATTAATTCCTGGCATTAACTCCATTAATCCTCCAAGAAGATGGAGACTGAAGACAAAGGTGAGGCTTGTTACCAAACCAGAGTTCACTTATTCAGTCACTCAAAAAGAGACCTAGTGAATTGAGGACAAGTTGGCGGGACAGAGAAAAAGTTTATTTGAAATCTTACCAAAATGAGACAGTGTTGGGCTAGTATCTTGGGACTAAAAAACACCATCTTAATGGCAGTCTGGTTTTTTTTTTTTTTTTTTTTTTATTGTAAAGATACTATACAGAGGGTTACAGTTACATGAGTGAGGTAATGAGTACACTTCCTCTTGAACATTGTTACCCCCGGCAGTCTGGGTTTTAAGCTCCTTCTATCCTTAGGCAAGGTGAAAAAGATGGGCTGGGAGTGGGTAGATCGGGGGCTTAGAATAGTACAGGACTGATTATGGGAGACTCTTCAGTAGTCTGGAATGAGACATTGTGAAACC